AACTCAGGATCCCCCTCTCAACAGTGCTAGGGACCGTATATCCGTCTTTGCTGGGTGGTCTTTCGAGGTCTAGATCCACTTGCGGAACCTCGGCCTACCCCAGGGACGGGGGGGGCAGGCCGGGGAGGACAGTATGCCTCACGAAGATGTTCCGGAAAAAATGGCACTTTACAGGGCACACATCGGTCTGTTGTCCGCCGACAACGTCTCTCAAAGTACAATCGATCACCGCGCAATCAAACATCTCGCGCTATTCGTGCGAGGTGCAGCAGCTCAAAGCCTCAGCCTCATGATTAGCTCATCTCTCGAATGGCGACCGCCAGCTCAGCTAAATGCGTTGCGTGCATGTGTGGAAGTGGTCCGCATCACACCTCCGAAAACATGGAAGGAGTGGGTCACGGCTTTCACCACATCGTTCGCTCCCGCCAACCGAATTGCTCTTCTTGCACATGATGTCATGAAATTAGAAGCAAAGACTAGCGAATCAGTTGACGTGTTCGCGCTCCGAGTATCACGCGCGTATGCCAGACTTCTAGCCGAAGCCGAACGCACAGCTCCGCTGAATGAACCACCTCATGAACACGCGTTCAACCAAGCTCTCACCGCCTCTTTCGAAAACGGTGTACACCTACACATCCGCGTAGAGATGATGCGGGCAGATCCATCCGATTCTTTCATGGAATCTAAAGCGCGTGCTCGTCGACACGAGTCCAATAAACTGCGCTCGCCCGCTACCCCCATCTCGGCTACCGCCTCCACCGTGTACGGTTCTGCTCGTTCCGGGCAGCTCCAAACGACCGCACATGACAACCGCGACCGTATTTCTGCACTGGAAAATTATATTTCCGGGCAGGAGGCGTTTGTGTCCAGCGGTGGAGCATACAGCGCACAACGCGGTGGGCGTCCTCAGCGGGGGACCGATAAACGGGACCGAGACAGTACCAGGGGGTGTACCTCTTTCTCTCCGACCCATGATAGATAGTGACTGCTAGTCTCAGTTGATACCTCGCATAGCGCGAAGAGGGAGTGGAGGATTCCAGAATATCTGTCGTTGATTTCTGTTGACTTGCGGACCCCTCGGGGCCAGTTTATTTGAGTGTACCTTTTTAGGGTAAGTTAACCTGTGACCACGGGAATCGACCGCGTCGAGTGTTGGATCAGTACGGACATACGAAGGTACTGGGTATAGAGAGATCGGAACGGTTTTTAATGTGAAGACAACAACAACAACCCTCGAGCTTGAGATCAGGAGGTAGGTCATTGGCTTTCAAAGTAAACCGTGCCGTGCTAATCACGTCCTGGTTGACCGTGGGTTGGGTTACCGGGGTAGGGTTGTCTGGGTTTACCGTTTGCTGGTTTACCTGGTTCGGTGAGGCCTGGTTTACCGTGTTTTGGTGTACCGGGTTAATAGATGAATTTGTCGGTGTAGACATATTCTGAGCAGGGGTCTGTTGAACACTTGCTGTCGTGCGCATACCACCAGAACGATTTTCTGCTTCTAGATCTGAGGCAAGCGAACGCGGATTCACCTGCTGAATGTCGTGCTGGTGGACGGCTCCCGGCATGAGCATGCTGAGGACCCATGCCGGCGGGGTCTTATCCGCCTTCACTGCCTTTGTGACCGCTCCGACGAGAACGGCTTCCAGCGGCCCGCCGCTTGCCAGGAGCGAGGCACTCTGCTGACTTGCGGCGCTTGCGCGGTTCCGCAGGATGTCTTGCGCGAGGTCGTCGTCGACGTCGTCGCCGCCAACGGCGTCGTTCGTCGTTGTCGTCATCGTTGTCGTCGGATTGCGGGTCGGTGTCGTGGTGTCGGGTGGTGACAGCCTGGGCGCCATCGCCAGCGCTGCTGTTGTTGTCGCTGTCACGACTTTCACCCACCAAAGCGTGGAAGTACCCGCCACGGTGACTGCTCTGCGAGGGTGCTACGCTCGAAGCCGCACCAGCGGTGTCCCCAGCTTGGGACGGCGTCGGCTGTCCCTCTTGGGGCTTAGCCGAGCCGTGGTGGGTAGGCGCAGCAGCGTCGGGACGCGGCTTCGCCTGCTGTTTGGGCATCAGCGACTTTTGCTTTTTCAGCTGTTGCTGCTGTTGTTGCGACCCTCCGTCCTTTTTCTTTCTGTTGGAGTATTTGTGTACAAGAACGACTGGTTCTACTGCATGGGTTCTGTGCAGTATTGTGAAGGCGTGTTTCCAAGTCTGTAACCGTCAGGTGAAGACAGCTTGGGCGTCTGAGTGTGGATAATAAATCACTCTGTGTTTACCCTACCTACACCTCGCATGAACAACGCCAGCAGTTCGAGAGGACAGCGTCCCTCGCTGCACAGCGTGAGCCACTTCGCCCAAAAGGTTATGAGCCTCGTGGTAGGTATACCACATCGAGTCACAATGTCCTCCGCCAATCCTATCCTGAAGGGATATTCACCGTTCAGCGGAAAGCCGGCGCACTACAATAGCTGGATTTCTCTCCAGCGAGCCCTCATGTTCGAAGGAGGCCTGGGAGAGATCATGACTGGGGCGGAGAGACGCAGAAATGGCGGAGAAGTACCATACTGGTCAAATCCGGGGGAAAGTAACCACCTATAATGGTGATTCTGGCAGCGACAGCCGCGCGCTGAACACAGTAATGCACGAAGGAGCGCGTGGATTCCGCAAACAAGGTGGTCGTGGAGGAAGAAGTCGTCGCGGACGAGGCGGTGGCAACAACTCGTCGAACGGCCCGTCGAGCGGAAACAACTTTGCGTCGAACCGAAACCATGGGACACGCGGGCTGACGGACGGCGGAAAAGGTGCAGCAAGTGCGGGAGGTAGTGCACAACAAGGAAACGAAGCGTCAGGGCAGGACAATGGTAAGAACCGTAAAGGACGTTGTCGGTACTGCAGAAACTCAAGAGGACATGGGTGGTACGACTGCCCACTGCGCGCGACGCACATAGAAGAAGACAAGGAAGAAATAACCGAGCAGGCGAACACTGCTGTCGGGAAAGAAACAACTACCCAGGCATGGTAGAGAAAGATAACACAATGCTGCAGCAACGCCACCGGACGAGCGAGCTGCTACAGGCACCAGCGTGCAGGTGGAATGATACCTGCCCCCACAGTCAAGCCACCAGAGAAGGGTACCCAGAGAAGAGCTGGCTGTTTCAAAACGGAGGAACGAACTGCTAAACACGTGCAGGTGGAATGATACCTGATGCAGTACCGCCACCAGAGAACGGGCTGCTATATACATACGTGCACTGCAGGTGGAATGATACCTGTGATGATGATGATGATGATGCAGTTCCGACACCAAGAGAAAAGGGCTGATTGCAACGAAAGGAGAACGCCTAGAAAGATAGATGCATGTTTAAATTTAATTGAACTGCCGCAGCCACGCCACTTGAGGAGGAGGAGCGGGCTGTGCCATACTGGCATTAGTGAAGCATACAACTAACTGGCGCGACTACGTTACCAGAAGAGGAACGGGCTGATTGCAACGAAAGGAGAAGGCCTAGAAGATACAACGAGCGGATGCAGATGATGAACGAGTGGATGCGCCATGCTTGAAACGAAAGAGAGAAAATATGGTTAACAGGTGCAGAAGGACACAACTGGCGCGGCAACTTCACCGAAAGAGGAGCCGACTGCCGCCGGAAGGAGCGAGCTTAAATGAAACAATAGTTAACAGCAATCAACTTGCCCGAACACTTCCCTTTGAGCGAAAATTGGACCACATCAAAGCAGGTGACCAAGACGAAGGAGACGACGGAGTCATGAAAATAGAAGTTGAATGGTACTGTAGATGTGTGGTATTAGTATTCAAAGCTCAAGAAGAACAAGACTGCGTGAAGATGTCAAGACGCTGCCGGAGGAAGGATGGAAATAGAAGATTTGTGTTGGAGGATCGGGAGATCTGTGTTGAAGGACAGAAATTCGCTGCTAGTATGAATATTGATTGGCAGTTAGTGAAGAAGTGATCATTTGATTTGAGTTGAATATGCAAGTACTAATGTTACTTCGTCGAGAGGACATTGATATGGTTTTGAGAGGACACTGAAGAGAGTTTATTTAGTCTTCTGCATCAGAGCTGTAGAACGAGGTAGTTCTCGAGAGGACATGTTGGAGTATTTGTGTACAAGAACGACTGGTTCTACTGCATGGGTTCTGTGCAGTATTGTGAAGGCGTGTTTCCAAGTCTGTAACCGTCAGGTGAAGACAGCTTGGGCGTCTGAGTGTGGATAATAAATCACTCTGTGTTTACCCTACCTACACCTCGCATGAACAACGCCAGCAGTTCGAGAGGACAGCGTCCCTCGCTGTACAGCGTGAGCCACTTCGCCCAATACTTTCCTCCTTTGGACCCCATGTTTCACACGTGGGTTGCAAAGATAGAACGCGTCGTCGAACGCCAATATGGAAGCCCTCTACTCTGGCTGAGCAGAGAGTCCGGGAGTGTGGTGGCTATCTATGTCCTGCCACCGGAGGTTGGCTATTTCCTTTGGTGCAATGTGGCGAGGGTCTGCCTCACGAAGATGTTCCGGAAAAAATGGCACTTTACAGGGCACACATCGGTCTGTTGTCCGCCGACAACGTCTCTCATAGTACAATCGATCACCGCGCAATCAAACATCTCGCGCTATTCGTTTGATTTCGAACATTTGAACATTTGAACCGCCGATCTACCGCTGTACATAGTCTCCCCTTCTTTTCAAACATGCCTCGAATCGATGCCCCACATCTGCTGACGAGCGGGCAGCTGCGTCAAAAGAGGGCACAGGCCCCGAAGCTTAGAACATCACCAGAGGGTCTCCTGATCGGGAGCGTACAGCATGCAGCGTCGCCGTCACTGAGTGCTGGAGAGCGGAGAGCGTTCAGAGAGGGGAAATTTACAAACCTCCCCTGCCTTGTGAAGCGCGCCGAACTCATTGAACTCCCTGTATTTCTTTTTCCCGGCGCTGCTGCACACTTGCACGTAACAGCTGCTGAAAAACCATCTGGTCTCTCGCACCAACACCGGCTAGCCGATGAAGACTCGGTTGCTGCGAGGTGTGCTGCTCGCAGGGATCTTCTGCGGTTGGACAAGTGTTGCTGTGGATGATGTACCAACGGTGAGAATACCCCGAATCCACCCTCTCGCTGTTGAGCTCCGGAATGCGGAATGTTCCCACCAGTCTCTGTGAGAAGTGGTGTGCTGCTGCACAAGTGCACACAGCTTGCGGCGTTTGTCGAGGATTCGATTACTGCTCTTGAATCCCCAGCTGCAGCAGGAGGTTCGACGTTTGTTGGTCTGTTCTTTGCCGCACGGAATGCGTGGTATAATAGGTTGGTGGCTACTGCTGTGTCGTTGGCTCACTTCTATGGTTTGTGGTTTGACCGAAGTGCCATCCTCTCAGGGTCTATCTGTCTGTGGGTTGTAGACTGCCGTAGTAGGTAATCACATGTCGCCGTGTAGACCCCACCTGCTTGCTGCTGCACACTTTCACGACGTCCGTCCGATGAGGCAACGTAGCTCGCACTTCTCTGGTCGACTGGTTTGAGCTTGTGTGTCGTATTTGTTATTTTTGCTCACCTCCACATGATGAATTTACGCGACACGTGTGTCGGTGACAGTAGCAATGCTATCACCCCGAGTTGCTCGAGCTTGATTGTTGAACAAGGAGAAAAAGCTGTTGTAGGCCAAGCGCCCAGCAGGTTTTGTCCCTCATGCACCACTGCAAAGACTTTCATCCACCCCCTTCGACTTGGGCGTTTTAGTCTTTCAGTGATTGTATACACATTTTCTGAAAAGAAGATGTCAATCCCGAAGGGTCGAAGAGATGTCGTCGTGACTTTCCTACATTATATCCAAGTCTTGGTTGTGGACGAATCAGCATGGAAAGTTGACAAGAATGGAGGTTCCATTTACCCAAATGTACCCCACGGTTTGTTTCGAAAACAAATATCCTGGTGCAGGGTACCGGACGTCGCCGCCGAAGTATGTAACTGCTGGACGGCATAGTAGAACGTCCGCTACTTTCAAGAAATAACCATCCATGTTCCCGACCCTAGTCATTGCCCGACCCCTTCCCTACCCTGCTGCTGCTGCCTTTCTTGAGCCAGGCCGATGACGGCCAAGAACAAGCCGGCGCGCCCTCCTCCTGCGCCGCACCGTCCTCGGGGACGCTGTTCCAATGGAAGCGAGTACCGGTTGAGGTGGCGGCGGACGGGGTAGGGCCCGAAGGCGGTGAAGAGAGCACGAGGATGGAGCTTACGGTCGACGAAGGCGCTCTTCAGGCTCTGTCTCAGATCGATACCAAGGTAAACGCACGGCCTGCAGTATCTTCACCACCGACATGTTTTTTTTCTCTCTTTTGTGGACTGAATAAGTTTGCGTCGAGGTCCACCCATGAATATCCCATCCAAACGACTTTGTGCTCGCCCCGCGTGCCCCCCGGCTGTGTTACGAATCCAAGCAACAAGTTGAGCATTTTTCTGCTTCACGCCCTACCATCCGCGTCCCAACCTCCTCCTGGCCTTGGGCATAAATCACATCGCGCCGCACGTGTGCGAGAGAGACAGAGAGTCTCGACGGAAAAAAAGAAACTTCTAAAGCGCGGCGTGTACTTTTCTGCTCATGTTTCTCCTTACAAGGTTCCTCTAACTTCGGACACACAGTACAGGGCACTCCGGAAAATCGTCGCCTTACCAAGTACCCCCCCCCCCTCCCTCCCGCCTCGCTGCCGTGCGCGCCTCTCGTGCTTGTGTGGTCCCGCCCAAAAAACGAAAAAACAGCTGGCCGTCGTTTCCATCGCCGGTCCTTACAGGTCGGGCAAGTCCTACTTCCTTAACTTCTTGGCCAACCACGTGCTGGCCAACGGTTTCGATCCCCCGAAAGAGCCAGGAAGCTTTGACTTCGAGCGCCCGTTTCCGACGTCGCCCACATTGAACGCCGAGGGCGGCGGCGGCGAGGCGGGTCTGTGTCGTTTCCAGCTGGTGCCAGCATGCGGGAAGCCCCTGCCCGACCAGGAGGGCACGGCGCTGCTTCTGTTGGACACGCCCGGACTGATGACTCCTCGCAGGTGCGCTGCTTGTGCGTGCGTGGGAGGGAATGAGGGAGAGAGAGAAGAGGGAGAGGGCGAGAAAGGGAAGGAGGGAGAGGGGGGAGAGAGAAAGAGAGGGAGAGAGAGAGGGGGAGAGAGGGAGAAAAGGAAGGAGGGAGGTATGAAACGAGTGGTAGGATATGGCAGGGAGAGCGGTAACATGGAGAGGGAGACGTTAGCATCCACTCGCGAAACTGCACAGTCAGTGCGACTCAGCAGCGGTAGCCGTATGGGTGCACCCTGTTTTCTAGGTGCCCAGCTTGCTTGAGCACGTCTCGAGCATAGTAGTTTTACCTCGCCAGTTGCGTTGTGAGGTTGCGATTGTTCATAGAGTAACCGATATCAAAGAAGCCCATCCTTTGCCTAGTGCCTCCTAAACAGACGTAAAAAGGCCCCCTCAAGTTCCATGTGATAGCTCATATCGAGATAGGGCCGACGTACCTCCCACAGATGTAGGCAGTCGTGTGTGTGCTGGGAGAGAAGGAACGAGGTAGAGAGTAATCGTTTACAGCGGTAGCCAAGTGCTCAAAGTGAACGCCGGTCGCATCCGTTCCTCTTGTTCGTTTGCTCGAAGAGTTTTCTATCGCCTTTTTCGTGAATAGGAAATGTGTGTTGGTGTGTGTTCGATTAGCATCGATTTCGCTACAAGCTACAAGCCACGTCACAAAAGGCAAACCACCTGTTCATGATCGTGTGCCCGTGCCCCCGTGCGCGTGGTGGCGCAACGGCAATGACAAAAAAAAAAAACAGGTCCGTCGTGCAGGAGGCGCAGGTGCTGGCGCTCCTGCAAACCGTCAGCTCGGTGGTTCTGTACAACACGCAGGGGGTAGTGAGCCGGCCTGACGTCGAAGCCCTGTTAATGTGAGGAAACGGGGAGGGGAAACCACACAATGTCCAGTAGAAAAGAGTAGTCTAGTTGGTGGATTGTGAGTGTAACAAGTGGCTCGGAGACAGTTTGTGTGTTTGGTTGGGCGTGGCCGCGGACATGTGTACAAGAAGCACCCCACAAGGGTGTCGTTTGGGGAGTCGTCAGGTGTTTTTTTTTTTTTGCGTGTGTGTGTGTCGCGCTCCGTTGTTCGTCGAGCTGCACGCGTCGGGTTGTTGTGCGAGCGTCTCCTCGGAATGTATGCGTACCAGGGTCTGTGTATTTGTTTGATCCTATTCGGGACCCCAGGCGTATGGCCAAGGGCCCCTACCTGCATCGATCGGACACGAGAAGGAGAAAAGGGAAATTCCCGGCGGGCTAATTTATCTCCGACCGGGCGGACTACAGTATCGCGACGACTCTTGAGCAGAGTGCCCCAA